CCCCGCGGGGCGCTCTCGGCCCCTGAGTTCGGGCGTTTAAAGTGCGTCCTCTCGGCTTGGCGGCTGCGGCAGAGAGGCGTGCGGGTCGGAATGTCGGGTTTGCCCACCGTCCCGGAGCAGGGGCGCCCGGAGCAGAGCGCGCCAGATTCGCTGCGCGCACGCTTTGTGCTGGGGCTGGACGTGGGCAGCTCGGTGATTCGCTGCCACGTCTATGACCGCGCGGCGCGGATCTGCGGCTCCAGCGCGCAGAAGGTGACTGGGGAGCGGGCGTCGGGGCCACGCGTAAGGGTCGCGCGGGGCACCCGGTCCGGGTCGCGGAGCCCAAGAGGGCGATACCGCCTCATCCGGCCTGGACGCAGCCACCTGCGGCACCGCGGGCCCTCAGTCCTAAGCGGCGCTCCGTGACCGAACAGGTCTCCGCACTACTTCCCCGAGCAGGGCTGTAACCTGCGCGCCCTTCCTGTCCCGGCTGCGGACGATAGGGGTCCGGTTTGTGACCTGGGGCCAGTCACTCGCTTCCATTCACCTGGGGATCTGCCTTTCTGGCCTTACCTGGGTGGGACTGCGGTGACTCGCAGGGCAGGGCAGGGAAGGAAGGGCAGGCTGCGCAAATCTAGCCAGAGGGTGCTTTGTGACTTGCTTGATTTTTCCTGCACTTCCTTGATAGACCTTCAGCCCCTGTCTTTATTTACATTTAAAAATTTCAGATCTTGGTGGAATTTAACTTTATCTCCGTTCTTCCGTTGTCATTATTATTAACTGCTTCTCAAAGTGCTGAGCAACTGATCTCCATGGATATGGGAGTTATTGGACAAGTTTTGAAGGCTGTGTTGCTACTACTTTTTCTCCTTTCCATCTTTGAGGATTCATGAAAGTATCTCTTTCTGGGTTGAGAAATCTACCAAGTCATTGTTACTAGTAAAACAACCAACAGATTGGTATTCTTCTGTTCTCGTTTTAATGAAGTGTCGATTTCTACACAGTTGTCAGCACTCCAAAAATAACGTTGATCCGATGTGATGTTTTTATTTACTCTTCTTTCTAATATCAGCATCTTTTTATGTTAACAGTGTTGGAGAAACAGGAGCTGTTAGCTACCTAATCCATTGCCAGCAGCACTGGTCTCTCGGTTGCTCGGTTCCCATCCTTGCTTCCACCCCCTTTTTTAGACGTGTTTTTCAGCCGCTGCAGTTGCCCAAGAGCGGGTTCAGCTTTTAAAAGACTGTTTGGAACGTTTATTTGGAGGGCTTCCTCAGTCTGGTTTCAGGACTAGACAGAGCGCTGGGGCTAGGGCAGCTCCCTGGTCCCTTCCCTGTTCACCTGTGCAGGAACACTGCCTACCCAGCCACACATCCCATCCCTAACCTCACCTGAAGGACAGATGAAAGGCTGTCCTTCAGCGACTGTGTGCTCCTTATCTTTGTAATGAGTCTTTATCAGAACACAATGATACTTTTCACACAGTCTCCCTTATAATTCTAGACACAAAGTACTTTTGTTTTAAGCAGTGAGGTTTTTTTTTTTTGAAAGGAGTTGAACTATTTGGAACCAAAGAGATACAGAAATTGTTAGGAGATAACAGAGTTTCACAGTTGCTATATAATTTGGGGCGAATCATTAGTTTTGTAGAAATGAGGTAAAAATCTCAAAGAGAAATCGGGATTGCTGTGAGTAGCAGGAGACTAGAATGGTTTGCTCAGACTCTAAACTGGAGGTGTCTGGAAAGATATGTGAGTAAATAAAAATACAAAAATTCCCTGCCCTCAAAGGATGAAGCACTGTATCCTAAATTAAGGGGGTGAAAGCAGTGCCTCTCAAACTGTGATAGGCGTTTACAGCATTGCTTCTTAAAGTGTGGTTCCCACACTGCTGAGATTGAAATAGAGAAACTAAGATTTAGAAACTTGTGTAGCAATTTGGCAGAGTAATTTTATGTCTGTTGACCTTAATAATACAGCATTTGGGATTTTACTTTGTATGTAATTTTTTACCTAGAAACTTGTTTTAATTGTGTCTTAAAAATTGTTGGTCCGCAATGAATTAGAAATCAGAAAAAACAAAGCAAAACAACAATCAGTCCTTTACTTCAGGTAGCTTGATTTCTTTGGGGAAGAGGGTCTTGCTGGCCTAGATTACGATTTAGCATCTGGTTTATTACCTCATGGGCACAGAATAAAGAATTGAATTGCATTTAATCAAAGTATTAGGAATTCAGTTTGCTTCATGGGACTCTGTGAATTAGACACAGACCTGGTGTTTGTTTTCTTATGTGAAAATGACACTTCTGCTAATATTATGTTGGGAAGAATATATTATAGAAACCCCAACCACTAGTACAGGATTTGACTGTTATTGCCAAATAAATAGCTTAAAAAAGAGAAAAAAACTGAAGACATCACCTTTTAGGGACAAGAACAAAATAGGCTGTGTTGGTCTTTTAGTTAAAATTGAAATCCTGAACAGGAGCCTTGACATTAGGCGGCTAGTACTAGGCCTCTCAGAAGACTTCAGCTTTCTCTCTTGTGACATTCATTTTTTAATAGCAGAGACACATTTTTAGCCTTTTTCTATAAGTTGTTGTCTTTAAAAAGTTCTTCTATGGACTCTTAAATATTGGTGTTATATACTAGAATAGTATTTGGAGTTGGAAATCATGCATGTGAATATTTGATATTTTTAGTTTTTAAAAATGGAGAAATGTTATTATGTTCCCCATTTGAACATCACGTGATTGTGAGAAACAATGAAAGATAATAACATCTTTTTTTGTTTGTTTTACTTTTAGATTTACCCAGGTTGCAGGAAGTTTCATTTATTTATTTAAATTCTTATTTTTTATTGAAGTGTAGTCGATTTATAATGTTAGTTTCATCTGTAGAGCAAAGCAATTCAGTTATACAAACATATATATATATATTTTTTTTTCACATTCTTTTCCATTATAGCTCATTACAAGAGATTGAATATAGATCCCAATGCTATTCAGTAAGTCCTTGTTGAAAGCTAACATCTTGGTTGGAAGAACAGAACAGAAAGGCCACTCCAAAGAAAACAGTGGACTCTCCAATACTCTGTACCCTCTGGACCTTCTTGAAAAAAATCTGGTGGTTATCTTTTGTTTTTAATCAACAGAACACATTTTCTTCTTAGCTTTGATTATATTCTTGATCTAGTTTCAGTTTGGTCTTCCAAACTACTGTGACATGTTTGGGGGTGGTGAGCTGTCCGGGTCGGTGGAGTGGACGGAGATGACCCTGGAGTGCCACCAACAAGTGTGGTTTGTAGACTTGATGTGATGAGGGATGCAATCAGCTTTTAAGGGTGAGGGAGTGCTAATTGCGACTGAGCCATTACAATCTGTGGTCATGAAAGTCTTGCATGGAAAGAATAGAGATGTTATTTGATAGAAGGGAAATGATTTTGTTAAATCTGTTTGTTTCTAACATGCTCACTGGGGAATAATAGATTCTTTTCTCATATCATCCCCATGTCACCCTCATGGCTCCCCCCATGGTCACTGTTTTTATCATGGTTCCTTTTTTTCCCCCTCTTTATTTTGACCTTTCCATACGTGTTAGAAGTTTTCCTTAAATGGTGGTCTTTGGTTGGTTATCTCTTCATATTTTCAGTACCCTGTCTTACCCCTCTCAGCTATGT